CCCGTGGATGTGGGGTCCCCGCCCGTGGATGTGGGGTCCCCGCCCGTGGATGTGGGGTCCCCGCCCGTGGATGTGGGGTCCACGGTCTTTGTCTGGATGAGCAGCAGGAGCTCTTGGCAGCAGGGAGGCTGTGCATGTGCTGCAACGAGCAGTCAATGCTTCTGTAGGATGAATTTCCATGCTTTGATGTGTGGTTCCTCTGCCCCATAATAATCTCGGCAGTCTCTATAGCATGTCACCCCAATACCAACATCTGAAGCGGCAGTGAGCCTTCTAAGTCTCAGGTGAGCCACCAATGTGATGTCCTAGGTCTGCTTCACAGTCACAGAATTCTGCTACTCTCCCCTTTTCTACAGCCTCTACTGCCCACGGCAGCCGGGAAGCCTCTACTGCCCACGGCAGCTGGGAAGCCTTGCCTGACCCTTATTACCCTTATTAGGAACTGCACTGATTCATAACCACCTCTCATAACAGAATAAAGTGGTGTTTTGTTCTCCATGCAGAGGCAGAAAATTCATGTGGGGATTGGTGAAAACTCCAGCTGGTAAGCCCTGAACATGGCCTTCTTAATGTATTAAGACTTGAACTCCTTCCTGGTATTGAAAAAGTAGCCCACGGTGATCAGCAGGCTCCCATGACCCTGCTTCTTATTCTTGACCAAAGAAGAGACATAAATGTACAGCATAGGATAAAGAAAAACAATGGTGCCTCTGATTTAGTCAGAGATTTCAAAAGGAATCAACTGTAAGAGGTATAGCCACAAAGATCATAGGAGAACTTAGAAAATCATGTCTTACAACTTTCAAAAGTGATTTAGGGTGGCTTGTCAAGGTGTTTGGATGGTCTAGAAACTATCAGAGCAATAAATCTGGCCAGAGACAAAGAACGAGAACTCACATCTGACCAAGGCAGAGCTGAGGGGCTTTCTAGAATACAGCGGATTCATGCACTTCTGGAACAAGGGGAAGAGTATGGAGCACAAGCACACTGTGAGATTCCAGTGTTACTTAAGGAAAAGAGGGTGAACCCCAACTCACCAGAGGTTTGGAAAGTTACCCCTTGTCCTAGGGTTCTCATTAAATGGCAGGAAAGAAACCCTTAAGTAGGCGAGCATGCCCTAATCCACAGATAGGGTGTGCCCTGTTGGTGGTATGGGGAGTAATATTTCCAGTGGAGAAGCAGCATCTTGTTGCATCCACAAAGAGAAGCACAGTGGTTCACAGAAAGAGGATCTATGGGTGAGCGAAGTGTAGGGTTATGCCAGGGAGAAAGCCAGTGGGAACTTGGTGGCAGGCTAGGAAGGAAGTAAAGGGAAGAGACCTGGTAAGTTAAGGTAAAATAACCAGAAAGGGAAGGTCATATGGCCGTGAGAACAATCTATTCAACCTAACTGGTGCATTGAAAGAAGATCTCTGATGTATTTCCAAAGATGAGAACATTTTAGTCCAAGGCCATCTCTTTGTTCATCCTCTGACCTAGACATGGATCCTTGAGAGACAGAAGTCAGACAAGGGTCTTGAGATGTTTGTGGAAAGATGGCAGCATGGGACTGCTAGACAGTTGATTTGAAATCAACTACTGGGGAAGGGCCATGTGGTTATTCTCTCCAGTGACTATTGTAATCAAATGATTGGCACACATTCAGTGTGTGATACCTTATTTCCTCAGGCTGAACCTCCTTCAGCTCTAGGGAGTATCTTTATGGATTGCTGAGGGAGCACAGATTATCTCTCTGACCACCAAATGACTTGGTATCAGACTCAGAACTATGATCGCTTGTAACATGAGGGGCTGGTTTGTTGGGGTATCTGTCCCGCCCAGTACCCCACAGCCGGCAAGTCCCAAAGAAAATCACACATAGGTCTCCATAAAATTATAAACTGATTGGCCCTTAGCTCTAGCTACTTATTAGCTCTTATAACATATAATACCCCATTATCCTTATCTACATTAGTCATATGGCTTGGTACCTATTCCAGCTGTCAGCTCACATGTTGCTTCTTTGGTGATCTGGGCAGGAATGGCGGAGGGAGCTTCCTCCTTCCTAGCCTTCTCCTGTCCTCATTGCCCCACCTCTCCTTCCTGTCTGGTTGACCCGCCTATACTTCCTGGCTGGCCAATCAGCGTTTTATTAAATACATGATTGACAGGATACAAGACAATTCTCCCACACCAGTCCCTTAATTGCAATAATGCATAAGGGCATATCCATATACATACGTGCGTGCATGCATGCATACATACATACATGAATAAATACTCCCATCTTGGGAAGGACACTTCCTTACCTGACATGCCACTATTTTTGCAGGCTCCCAAGGAATGGTGATATGTCTGGGTGCCCATTTGACAAGGAGTGGACTTGTGGTGGTGAAATTCACATTATTAAGAGACAGGGTGTAGCATCACCTAGAAGAGACACCTCTGGGTATAAGTGTGAGAACGTTTCTCTTTGGAGTTAATTGTAACTGGAAGATTTAGCCCCTTTCTATGGGCTGAATTCCTGGTCTGAAGAAAAAGTGGAAATTGAGCTTAGTGCTAACATTCAGTGCTGTCTGCTTCCTTAGCGCAGATCCAATGTGAGCAGTCTCTCTGCTTCCCCACCATGAGGGACGGTACTGGTAAAGTGTGACCCAGTTCAGTCCTTGATTCCTTGCATGGCTTTTGTCAGGTATTCTGTAATGATAGCAAGAAAAACAACCAGTACAGCAGAATTCACTTATAGCAATGGATAATAACTAAGGCTCCATGAAAGGCAATGAAACAAAGACATATAATAAAATTTGGAAATTAAACACAAATTGAAAGTAGATGAAAAGAGATTTATATATTTAAACCAATAAAATAAATCACTGGTTAGTTACAAGTAAAAGAATGAAGATTTAAATAATGTGAGTTATGGGATGGTATAAAACAGAGAGCTGTCAGCTTCTCTATTCTTTGGATACTGAAAGTGTCAGTAAATTATGTAATCCTGGCAATTATTATATTCACCTCAAAATGCAGAAATCTTTAAAATGCCAGCAGTCATAACACAATTCTGAGAAACTGCCAAATTCTTAATTGCAAATTGCTATACTATCTTCCTTTTTCAAACAGGATGTAGTAGTTTATGACAAAGTGCTACCTCTGCTGTGTAAATTAGAAAACAAGGACCTCATCACATGAGGCCAAAGATTAAAAACAAAAGATAATCCATAGGTAAAGGAATAGCGGAAATGACATTCTATATGAACAAAGATCCCTTTATTCAATCTGCATACTGAACGTTATTTTTCTAAGAGCGTCCGACAGTTCTGGAAATGGGATGACCCGGAGTCTTGGTTCAGATTATATAGAGGATTCTGCTTTGAAAATAAAAAGTCATAGGTTTTGCATTTTTGTAAAGCTGTTGAGACACATCTGTAAGTAGGCAGCATCTCTCTGTATTTTCTGAACATGTCTGGTTTGGGAGCAGAGCTGCCTTCCCTTGATGTTTTGGAGGCAGTGTCCTTCTAGAACTGTTCTGACCTAACACTGTCCCCATCAACGCTCAGGTATTATACAACCTTGTTTGTCTGGGATATAAAGAGGTGATTGGATCATGAAGTCTCTTTGTTAATGAATTAACGACTTGATACATTCATAGTTGAATGGAATATGGTCATAGCTTTGTTTCAAGTAGTACACCCCAGGGAGAAGAGAAGGGGCAATAGGAAATATATTGTGTCCCTCTGCCCCTAACCTCTTCCTATTTTTTTGCTTCCTGGCTGCCATGAGACAACCAGATCTGCTCTGCGACGTGATCCTACCATGACCCTTGCCATCCTCAGGCCCACAGAAGTGGAGACAGCCAACCCTAGGTTGAAACCTGAGATTATAGGCAAAAATGACTTCCCTCCTCCTCCATAGTTTATCTCAGACATTCTGGCACAGTGACATTAAACTGACTAACACAAGCAGGCCTAGAATAGAAATAACCCCAGAGTTTATAACTACCTGAAACCAGAGGGCTGATTGGCTGTCACCACTATCAGGTCCTGATTGACTGGCGGTCAGCTGCCATCACGTCCACCCAACAAGGGATGACCACCCTCAGCTCCTAATTGGCTGGCGGTCAGCTGCCATCACGTCCACCCAACAAGGGATGACCACCCTCAGCTCCTGATTGGCTGGAGGTCAGCTGCCATCACGTCCACCCAATAAGGGATGAGTCCTCTTTGGGGAGAACTTTCCTACTCACTCCTGACAAAATTGAATCGAAATCTCAGCAGGTTTTCTTCATCTCTGTTTTGCCGTAGAAACACTAAGCCCACACTAAATTGTGTTTGGAAATGAAAAGGACTTATATATACAAAAACTCCATGATTTTAAGAGATATTCTAAGTCTTAGCTTTATGATAAGGCTATATTGAATACCTTAATAGACTTTAACATCACTCATAAAAAATAAATCTTATTAAATAAAATGAAAATTCCACTACCTAGTAAAGGTTGGTTACCAGACACATACTGAATACCATACCTCTAGAAGATATAATTTGAAAGATCAGTATGGAGATTCTTCAAGAAAATTGAAAAGAAACTCTCCCATTTCCACTCATATCACCATATTACTGTTATAAGTAATTCAATGAAGCAAAGGATAAATTCAAGAATATCACTGCTTCTTAGCATCCTGATATTTGACAGATATGCATATTTCATGAAATGTTCCTTCCAACGCACAGAGATGTAGGTAGAAGAGGTATGGAAACTGCAAAAGAAGAAATTAGAATTGTTTTTCTCTATAGGCTTAATGTCTACATAGAGAGTCTATTAGGATCTGTAGGCAAATTATTGGTGGTAAAGACTTCTACAGTGTGTTTACAAAGGTGTCTGCCCATACAATCAGCCTAGGCTTGGGAACTATGAGCAATTATTTTATTATGTCACACAGTGATAATGGTAATAACATTGGGGTCACACTCACAACAATGGAAAAGCCCAGGAGATACAGTGTCGATATGATCAAAATAAATCAGGCTACCTAAACACCCTCCCTCGAGATGGCTCACAGTCAGTTGTAAGTTCGATTGTGTCTTCAGATCAACTGTCCCGCCTATCAACCTTCAGAAATGTGTTCTGAAAACCACAGTTTCTGGAAGAATCTACAATACCAAAAATCACTGGCTGCCATGAGATATTTAGGATCATGGGAAAGAGGGTTCTTGTTTTCAAATATGCCCACAAGAAGAGGAAAAACTCACTTTTCAGACCGTCTTTGATAAAATGTAGTCTCTCACCCACATCTAACTTTGGTATGTCTCTGGGAGAAAGTAGGAGTTTGGAAAAGAAGCGTAAAATTTTTCTGTATGCCTCCTAAGGAAAAAAAATAATAAGACATGGAAGTTATAAGTAGAAAAAACATAAAATGATAGTAAGAATTAAAGAAGATGAATACAATGGAGAGATTGGGGAGCAACCAAGACTAAAATGTTAATTTCATACAAATTGATTTGCATATTTAAAAATACTTCTATATAAATCGTGATACTTTGAAATTAAACTTGATAAATTAATTACAATTTTTATGTAGGAAAATAAAATACTAAGATGAGTAGAGGAAAAACATTGACAAAAAGAAGGAAAATCTCGCTTGCCAATTAAAATGACATAATCTGTCATAAATGCGTGTGAGCTGAGAGACTAAGGTGGTGGCTCAGTTGGTAAAGAGCACAGAAAACATTTCCACCCATGCATCCGAATCATTCTAGTTCCATCTCCCTCTATGGCTCTTTCTCACACCATCTCCTCCAGCCGCCCTAGTCTCAGATTCTTCCCAATGCTCCCTGCGGCTTATCTGTGAGTTTACCTCGTCTTACCACACGTGACGCTCTTCAGCTCCTCCACTTTATTGCAGGTGATGCAGTTTTGTTCTTCTTATAGATGAGAACTGGTATGGAGGTTCTTAAAGAAGAAAAAAGGAAAACCCAGATATAGTGGTGCACACCTTTAATTCCAGCACTTGGGAGGCAGAGAGAGGAGGACCCATTGGGAGGTCAAGGTCAATCTGATCTGTAGAGTGAGTTCCAAGGCAGCCAGACCTACATAGTGAGACCTTGTCTGGGGGGAAAAACCCAGAAACTGTCATATTACCATTTCTCTGGCTCTACACCTCCAAACTCAGCTTACTGTAGAAACACCATTGCTTATCCTGAAGTGCCCACAATAGTCAAATCATAGAATCAAACCAGGGACCAATGAACAGATGAGTAATCAATTTTAACACCTAAATTTCCATTGATAGCATGTTCACATTTACAAGAATGTATGTGTGTTGCTAAAACTAAGAAAAGCATTCAAATGAAATTCTACAATAAAATACAGCATTCATATGACACGGTAACAAAAGTTGACAGTGACGAGCACATGCTACGTTCTCCTCAGGCCCAGAGACGCCCACAACACTACTTAGTGTGCGGTACTGCTGCAAAGGCACTCAAAGGAGGACACAGAAGCACAATGATCTCTCACTTCCTTAAAACACATTTTGATACATGTGACTCTGAAAGCGACCAACTCCAGCACAGCTGGTGAACATCCGTTGGCCTCTAGCAGAACAGGTCAGCACCCCACTACTGCGTCCTGAGTTGCAGTGTGACCTACCTACATGTCCAAGCCTTTGCATCAGTGATCAGGACATTTGAGACATGGCTGGGGGTGAGCTCGAGGAGCAATTAACTGTGCGGTTGCACAAAATTAGCTGTATTAATTGTGTCAAATTTCACAGAACAAAAACCCTTTAATACCTACAGCTATTCTATACCGTCTTAGAAATCAGTGGCCAGAAAACAAGTGGATACAAACATTAAGGTATGTAAATATACATACATATATATATATATATTCGTTGTATAGGTTTAGATATATGGTTAGATCTTATATACTATGTTGGAGAGATATTTTACCAACATACACATACATATGCACATATTTTCATACACACACGTACACAAATGCATACATGTTATCTCTTTTGCTTGTCTGTCTGTCTGTCACTGTCTATCCTCTTGGATATCTTACTGAAGACAAATTTCAGCATGAGTGAGATTACATTAAAATTACAGCACACATAACGCTGATGTGGTGGAGTGCATCCACACCATCTTTCTAATATATTATTTGAAAATGATGGGGGTTCAAGATCATCATTGACTTTAATTTAGTATTCCTGCTCCATACAATTATAATGAGGGATAATTAGAAGTCATGGCAAATATTTGCGTAAAATATTTTCATTACTCTGCTATTAATAGATTAAAGATAGAAATAATTACATACTGTTCATTAGGAAAAGGTTGCAGTAAATTATGCTGTAACAGAAATGAAAGTGCCCCTGGATGGCCCGATGGAAGATTTACATAAATGGAAAGACATACTGTGAACCTGAGGAAGATTCATTAGCATACATGTGTCTATTATTTTGAATTAGTTTACGAGCTAATAAATTCCTCCTCGGCATCTAGTAAAGTATCTTGAAATATAATGAAGTTTTCTGAAATCGGTGAGTATATCTGTATGTGAGCCAAGGTATTCATCAGGATGAGCTGACTTTCGAACACATGACAGCCACACCCTATTACGGAGCTCACACACACGCCCTCAGAGCGCTCATTGCTCATCTTTTCATTCTTGTCATTTTCATGCCACATCCAGCCAGACGGCAAGTCTTTCTCTGGATGCTGGAGAACATGGAGAACAGGCCATCAGCTCAGGCAGCGAGGCTTGGCAGTACCAAGTGCCCCTTTTCTTCCATGTTATTGACCAAAGGAGACTGCGATGCATAAGGCAGAAAGCTGGGCAAGGGTACTCCTCCTGAGGACACCCACCACTATCCCCTGCAGAAACTCCTCTGTAAAAGGACACATGGGGGAACTGAGCCTCCTAGACACACGGGAATCTGCACTGTTTAATGAGAAGACAGCATCCCATAGACATATGCACACATATTGTCTCATAACCATGTACATACTTAACTAGGAAGTCTATGATTGTCTGCCAGGGTCCAGTTAAACCACAGCTCCAGAGGCAGAGTGCTTCCGTGAGAAACAAGAGTCAAATCCCTGTTTAGTATGTGTAATGGATTGTAGAGAATACTCAGTGGTCCCCAGCAGCCATCATGCCCTGCTAGCCCCTGCTCCTGGAATGAGAGACAGTTTCCTGTATTTTGAGGTGCTCTTGGGGCCTCATTGTCCTGAAACAAACAGATGCCAGCCTAGCATAGCATTCTCTTGAGTAAGTGGCTTCTAGGCTTCACACGACTGCACACTTTGTTATTCCATCCCTGGTCCGGCTGTAAAATATGCCCGGGGATGCCTCACTCTTGAAGAAAAGAGCTTGATTTGGCAGACAGCGTTAAGGGTTGAGGGCAGCGTTGATGGTCCCTCAGCATCCCTGGGCGCTCCTGTGTTTCTCCCATCCCAGCAGACAGTCCCACCCCAGCAGTGCAGATGAGAGGGGCAGACCACCTTCCGAGACAGGAAGCCAGAGAACCCAGAGGGTTCTCTTAGAACTACTTTTCCTTGAGAACTAACAAGAACCCACAAGAAACATTCGACTCCTTCAAAGCACAGCACCAATGACTTCACCTCCCGTTACATTCCCCCTTCACCTTTTGGCATACTGTTAAGTGACAGTATGTCTACTCACCCCCAATAAGGAACTAACCACAGACCCAAAGAAAGGATACCACCAAAGTCCAACTTGGAGGACCAAAGAGTTTTATAGAGTTAATTAATAGGGCAGAGGAAAGGGCACTTACAGGAATGGAAATGACTCAAATAAACCATATTACCAAAAACTCACCCCAGCATGGGCAATGGTTCATAACATCTGGGAACCTGGAACACAGGGCACAGCCAGGAGCCAACATGATGGGTTGGAGAATCTCAGGCAGCTCAGGTACCTGAATCTGATGACATGCATCTCAGCATGTCTATGTGTCTCTCAGCAGTCTGACAGCTTATATCTACTTGGGGAAAAAGGGTCCGGGTGAGTTTGGTCAGTTTGGTGGAGTTTCAAGAAGCTATAGCGTTCCTTCTTTCTATACATAACAAGCTCCCCTGAAGGATGCATTGTTTCACCCCACCCTTACAACATCCCTAACTTAAGGAGCTCCCAGCAAGACAACCAGTTTTAGCACCAAGAAAATAGTTACAAAGCATTGTTACATGGAGGACCAAGCCCAGGAATCTTTGAAGAACAAATGAGATTCAAACCCCAGGAACTAGTCTTTGTATAACGTAACAAAAACAGTGTATCTTCTCGCTAAGAAGTGAAGCTGCGGTTTTTAGCAGCAGGTGGGCATGCAGGTGTTAAAGGCTGTTTTTCAGAATGAAGGGAAAGGAAGCCAGGTGTCAGCCTAAGAATGCAGGAGGAGACAGTGATTGGCAAACATGGTACACAAATGATTAATTCCTTCTTCTTGTAGTTCCTTCAAAGGGAAACTAACTTAAGATAGTAAGTAATAATACTGTTCAATGAGATTCTAGATGTGTTTAGAATTTAAATTCTGACACAGGCAAAAACAACAACCCTGTAAGGCAGATACTTTTTACTTCTCAGTTGTATATGAAAGGATTTAAATATGGAAAAAATTAAAAATCTTTGCAAGATCACGAACTGGTTAGGACACTGGGTTCAAGTAAAAACCAAAAGATGTCCCAAGATGTTCCTAGCAGCTAGCCTCCTGTCGACATCCAGCTTTGTGGTCTCTAACAGGGAATAAACAGAAGCAGAAGTAACTGCTCAAGGAGGGCGGAGGGCATGTACAGAGGCTACACATACAGAGGCATGTACAGAAATAGCTGCTTAAAAAAGGAAGGGAGTAGGCGGAATTAACCCCTACCCTTCGTTTAGCAAGACCAACTCCCTTGACCCAAAATGAACCCAGCTTGCAGTTTCTGCCTATACACATCAACCCCAAATGAGGAACGAGAGCTCTCCTTATTGCGCTGACTGCATTGTGTGTAGTGGATAAGCTCCCAGCCTGACTTGGACTTTGCACACTGAATAAACCTTGCTTTTGCATTCTGGACTTGACTGGATTCTGGTGGTCTCTCTGGGGGGTTTCAACTTGGGCACAGCAGTATAGGAAAGCAAAAAGAAAACAAAACCAGGAGAAATGGGTGGTAGAATACCTTAGCTCTAATTGCGTTCCCAGGACATAGTGTGGTGGCTTGGATCTGGCGCACTGCGTGCATTCCTTCTCGCTATTATTGCCATGCTCCATAACAATATTCTACAACGTTGGAGTGATAAGATTCCTAAGTCAGTCTCAAACAGTGAAGGTAGAATTGTCAGAGTATTAACTGTGACTACAGGCCACATCTAGTTAGGCTGCATTTCACTCCTCATTGTCTATGGAGAGAAGGGATTCATTCCCTGGGTTTCCTTCAACGTTTTCAGTTCATCAGCATGCTTCAGGACTCACTAAGGGTTCACAGTGCTGTCTGTTTCAGGATGGACTTTTCTTATGCCCAGATCTACGAAGTCCTCCCCAAACTAAGGAGATTGAGTTCCGTATGTAAAAACAAAGAGCCTTTATTTTATACAAGTTTGCAAACTCGATCTCTCTGTTTCCAAGGTATTGGAGGGATCAGCGAGCCCCCAGCTCAGTAAGAGTTGGGTTTTTATAATAGTAAAGGTGAGGGAAATCTAGGGTTCAGGACCTCTAATTGGATTTCTAAGGTTCAGGACCCCTGTTTGGCTGACATTTGTCTAGGGGTGTCCTGGTGAGTACGTGCTGGAAGGTGATCCTATCTACAATGGTTGGAACGTTAGGAATTTCCTTTGGATTGTCTGTTCTTGGGTGGTGCCTGGGTAATCTCAGTTTGTGGTCCTTCCTGCAACCAGGTATTGCCTCAGGGCAAACTACTGAGACTCAGGCCTCCTTTAAACTTCTC